GGAGGGGGGGCGAGCCTTTAAATGTCATCATCATCCTCCTTTTCCTCGGGAAAAACACCCCCGTCCTCCCCCCTCGCCTCCCCGGGGGAGCGGGGCCGGGGCCAGACCGGTCGCCCCCCCCGTCCCCGTCCCCCTCCGGGGTCACCGGGGGCTTCCCCCCGTCCCCCCCTCTAAGCCCAGCCCGGCCCCATGGGGGGGAGCAGCCCGGGGGTCCCCCGACGGATCCCCTGCTCCCTCCTGCCCTGAAGTGGGGGTGTGCCCCAAGGGAACCCTCTTCCCTGCCTACAGGTGTAATTATTCATTAGGGGTTGTTAATGGGCGAGATGAGTATCTGGGGTGTCACAGCCCAGCTACTCAAGCGTGTCTTAAACCCCAGCCCCAAACGCAGAGCTGTCTTTCTTAAAGACTTGCCTTTTTTTATAACCTCTCGGGTTAAAACACCTAATGTTTTCACGCACAGACCCCACAACAAAAAAAAAAGGGAAATTCCCATATTGAGGTGCTTAAAACCGAATAAGACAGCCTGCCTCCTCCCCATTCATTTAATTCGGGATCCTCGGCGCTGGAAAATAAAATCCGACCCGATGTGGCCAGAAATAGGCCTGTAAAGTTGAAAAAATGTAAAAATTGATCCCCGGCCAGGCCCAACCGAACCTGCCTCAGGTCGGGCTGGTCAGTTATTGAGGGTGTTAGAGCGGCAGTGGCCATCTTACCTCCTGCCCCCTCCATCCCCCCCCGGCTCCCCTCACTTCAGCAGTTGAATGAAATGGACTTAAATGCACTTTTTACATTCCCTGTTGGGTATCGTCTCTTCCTGGGGGAGGTTTTCTGTGGTTCAGCACCCCTTGCTTGCTCTGCTCCCTTCTTTTAGGTCTCGCTGCGTTTCATTTCTGTGGCAGATCGTGGTCTCTGGTGGTTGCCAACCTGTTCTGTGGCAGCAGAATCTCTTACCTTCTCCCCATCCCTCCCCACCCCCCTCTTTTTAGTTTTAATGCGTAGTAAAACCTTACAATCCCTCGTATTTGGGAGTATGGCACATCTCTGTCATCAGAAGGGTCCCAGGACATTTGCAAGCAAGCAGAATGTCACTGTCAGGGATGGAAGGAGTTAATTAACCCCAGCGTATGTAAATGACTGTATGGGTTGTGTTATAATCCCAGCAGAGACACTTCACAACTTATTTCTCCAAAAGATCATTTATTTGTGCAGAACTTTTTTCCATTTGAAAACAGAACTGAGCTTCGGTGGTTTTGCTTCATCCAAAGCTCTACTTAAAATTACTTAAAATTTTAAAGATGATGTTTTTCCCGTTATAGGAAGTCCTAAATGTAGATAATGTAGATTTCTTTTTTTTTTTTTCCCCTCCTTCTTCAACCTTTGGAAAAATGCTAACGGGAAAGTAGGGCAAAACCAAACCCAATGGGTGCCCATGAATAGTGATGGTGCTGCTGCTGAATACTGTAAATTATTTAATTACGGGGAACCCGGAGCAAAACATTGTAGTGGTGCAGTGTCTGGAGGGGTATGGGAGAGGGAGGAACGTGGGCAGTCACTTGCCAGCCAGGAAAAAATACTGCAAAGCTGTGAAGTCTTTTATTATTACGTAGGATTTTTTTTGTTGTTGTTGTTGTCAGAGGGGAAATTTTAATTTGTAGAAAGTGGTTTTCGGTCGTCTTCATCTGTGGGCTGTTTTAGCCTTAATAAATCAGGCTGTAAATTAGTGACTGAATGACTGGCCCGTCGTTAAACTTGTTGGCGCTTGCCTTAGCAGCATATAGGGCTCGAGTGGGTTTAAATGAGTGGATAAACCTATAGAATCATAAACGGTCCGTCACGAAATGCACCCCCTGTAATCTGTATGCGCTGAGTGGAATTTGTGTGTGTGTGTCCCCCTCTCCCTCCCTCTCTGGGTCGAGCCAGCTGCTGCTGCAGGAGCTGACATCCTCCTCCAAATCCTCAATGAATGAATGAAAACAACGTGATCGCCCTAATAATGACCACCATCGCGCACGTCAACAGCTTGATTTGACCGAAATACGGGCACCATTTTCTAGCAGGCGAGGGAAATAAGATACCCTAGTGCTTCGGTCTTGCAAATGAAAAAAAAAAAGGTTACCAAACCCACCCCCCCCTCCAAACCTAGAGCTGTTTTTACACAATTTGGAATACGGTTGCGTGCCACAGGGCAGGATTTTGTCTTTGTTTCCCTGCTTGTTCTCAGCCTTTTATGGTTTATTACGTATGGATAGTAAAAAAAAAAAGCTGTTTGTAGCCTGTACGGTGGTGGTTGTGTAGAGAAAATTGAATTGCTGGATTGGAGGCTGCTGCAGTAATAATGGAGGACTTGCGGGGGGGAAATATATATAAAAATGTTGTGTTTTCAAACCTGGATGGTCTTGCTGCAGCTTGTTAAACATCGTGCTGCTCGGGCTATTTATAGTTGTCAGTGAGCAAGTCTTGGGGAAGCGACTTGATTAAGTTGAGGGGTTGGTTGTTTTTTTTGTTGTGGGGGTTTTTTTTTTGTTTTTTTGGGGGTCAGGTTTTTCCAAACCGTTTCCCAGCGCTGTGAAACGCCAGCTTAGGCTGGAGGTATAATCCTGTTGTTTTTCTGGCCGGTGCAGGAGAAGTGTTTGTCTTTGGCTCCGCAGTCTGACCGAGGCTGTTGCACAGATTCGTTCCTACCAGATCCTGCTTCTGATGCTGAGGGGTAGAAGTTCTTCCTCCCAGGTGCAGATTCCTTGAATTTGCTATCCTGCTGTGGATGTGTTAGTGATTTGCCAGAGGTTCTTTTTAATAAAGGAGATTTCTGTGGAAACACTCCAGCCTTGAGCCTCCCCAGGCCAGAGGAACCACCAAGTCAGGTGTTGGCATCACTCACTGCATGAATGGGGGCAGCGTCCTCTGCTCCTTCCCCCATCATCATCATCATCTTCATCATCGCCTCTTCTCGCCCTTCTTTCCAGAATGCCCTAAATGTTTTTGTTCTGTAGCAGAAACCCTGTGTGTTTAGAATGGAAACTTTTAAGAATCTGATGATGTTTTCTTTAAGCAGGTCTGGGGGTTTGAAGTTTTTTTGGAAACTATCAGTGCCAGCGTCTGTATTTGGGTAGTAATTGATAGCGAATGGATGAGAAATCATGGATGCTATGTTCTAAAAAAGGAAATAAGAGGGGATAAAACTTATGATATTGTAGGATAAACCTGCAGTGTGTGAGTCTGCTCCTCTCCTCTCATATTAAACATGCTTATCCCTTTCTAAAAGATATGTTTTCATGGCCCATGTTCATGTTTTGGAGAGTTGGCAATGTAAAAAGTGCCTGGCTGAGTGTAAGGCCACATGGTTCTCCTAGAGGGGACGTCTCTGATGCATCTCTGATCACACAAATGTAAGGTCGAGGGGATCTGAAGCAGCCTGGTTTATGACAAAGGACATTTCAATAATAATGTAAAAAAAAATAATCCTTTCAGCTGGTCAAACAGAACAGATGAGTTGTTTATGAGCACTTATAC